TTGCAATAGACTTCTATCTTAAGTGCTTTATTTAACATTCCTATTTCTATCTTCAAGAAAAAAAGCGGTGTGCGGCAGACGTGCGGCGGCTCGCTACGCTATTGTCTACTTTTGTGTATGTTTAAATTTTTCTCTAAGTCAAAGGCTTTTAAAAATGGAATTCGCTCAACAAAAAGATCTTCCAGCACCCTTGAGAACAGCACAAAATGCTCTTGCTGAGCAGACGTGGCTGTGGGGACCTTGGAGGAGGACTGTGCCTGAGAACCTATGTTTAGGAGCTGGCTGGGACCAGCAGGCCCGTGAGCAGAGAGGGGCACAGTTGCAGGCCCTGTTTGGGCCCCTGGGCCCCTGGGCCCCTGGTGAGAGATCCTCTCTAGGAAGGACAGAGAAGGCAGGGACAGACAGACCGCAGCCTTCCCATGGCTCTGGTCAGAAATAGGTAGGTGGTCATACCTGTTTGCTCTTCCAGGCCAAATCCCTTGGATCTGCCGATGGGTCCGTGACAGTCCAGTCACCAGGTTTGGTGTTCCAGTGAGCATCAGGAGAGCATTCAGAGACCGGAGTTTTGCTCTGGAAACCTCAAGATGCCACTGTCGTCTGTGTCGTCCCACGTGCCCCACATGCCCAGGTCCAGCCTCTCTGGTGTTATGGTCAGATGTCCCCTGGGTCAGCCTTGGCTATTGTTTTACTGAGGCAGCCAGTCCTCTCTGCAGTGATTGGCTGGTTGCCCTGTTTTCTTGTCAAGTCCCAGGATTCCAGGAGGACAAGAGAAACAGGACATAATGCTGTGAGAGCCAATTGACCAAGATCCAATTAATGGGAGTGCTTACAGAGTGACTTTCCATGCTTAGCTGTCTGTGGCTTGGCGAGTGTGTGGTCTCAGTATCCACAGACCTCCTGACATGTCAGCAAAACAGAACAGATAGGTGGTGAAGAGCACTTGCTTCTCTTCCGGGAGACCTGGGTTCAGTTCCAAGCACCCACATGGTGGCTGACAACCGTCTCTAGTTCCAGAGGATCCAACACCTTCTTCTGGCCTCCTTGGGCAAGGCACAAACATGGTGTGTATTCACACACTCAGGAATGTATATATACACATTAAATGAATGGGAAGATAAAGAAATAAATCTTCTTAAAAACACAGCAAATGTTTTCTGAGTAGATAAATAAAATGTCCAGTTAAGTACACTATAATGTATATAGGTTAGGGCCACAAAACACAGAGTCAAGGAGGGTTGTGCATGCGTGAGAGTGATTAAGATTCCTACAGAAATTCGTTTTAGAAAGCGAGAGGTACAGAGGAGGCTGCTGCAGGGTTTGAACACAGGATTCTCCGTTGATGAGACTGTGTGGCTCCAGTCAAGGTTCTTAACCTTTCTGTGTCTCAATCTCCAAAATGGACCAACAGCCTTACCAGGAAAAGTGGACGTGGTCCTTCTACTAGACCTCTGTGAGTCAGTGGTGTCTGGGGCCTAGAGCTTGGCGAATGGTAGTTAACGAGAGACCTGGACATCCTCTGAGGGTTGGATAATAAGTATGAATGGACAACTGAGGAAAAACTAGAGTTTGATCCCCAGCACCACATGGGGAGGGAAAAGAAAAAGAAAAAAAAAAAAAACCAGTAACATGAAATTATTACAGTGAAAACGGATGTTAAGGTTTAAAAAATCAGTTTGAAAACAGTAAGGGCCAGGTAGTGGTGGCGCACACCTTTAATCTCAGCACTCGGGAGGTAGAGCCAGGCGGATCTCTGTGAGTTCGAGGCCAGCCTGGTCTACAGAGCGAGATCCAGGACAGGCACCAAAACTACACAGAGAAACCCTGTCTCGAAAAACAAACAAAAAGAAAGAAAGAGAGAGAGAGAGAGAGAGAGAGAGAGAGAGAGAGAGAGAGAGAGAGAGAGAAAGAAAGAAAGAAAGAAAGAAAGAAAGAAAGAAGAAAGAAAGAAAGAAAGAAAGAAAGAAAGAAAGAAAGAAAGAAAGAAAGAAAGAAAGAAAGAAAGAAAACAGTAAGGATAACAAATAAAAGGGTTTGCAGCTGAGTGGGAGGTAACTTAGATGACAAGTAGGAGGAAGCCAGAACTCAGACCAAACAAAGCCAGTGTCTGCAGGCCACCAGCCCTCACGATGTCCCACAAGGAACAGGTGGAGGAGTCTGCTGCCTTTTCACGTATTCTTAACTGTAGGTGAAACGGCTTGGAGAAAGTCTCCAACTATTATTGCAGGAAGGAGGCTGCCCCAGACCCCTAGAAAAGGAGCCAAATATGAGCTCACCAAGAAGAGCCGCAGCTACATCTCAGTGAGCTGATGGCTGGCAGACCCTGGCAAGGGCAGGGACCGGCAATGCTGGCCAAGGCTAGCGGCTAGCAGGCCAGCCAAGGTCAATGCCGACTGAGCAGGGACCTCAAAGTGTGACCACTCTCCTGTGGTGAGCAGTGTGTGAGTCACTTGTGATCACCTTGCCGATTGGGTGAGGGAGCTGCGCACCGAGGGAAAGCCCCTGCACAGCTCAGTGACAGCTCCGTTCAGGGCCCCTCCCGTAGGGGGCTCATCTGACTTTGCTGGCTTCCTTTCTTGAGTTCCTCTTTCTGCAGCAAACTCTTCCCTTAAAATTTGACTTTTTAAATTAAAATATAATGACGGTTCTTTTCTCCTTCCCTTTCCTTCCTCCGGTCCCTCCCACGTCCTTTCTCTCCAACCCTTCCGTGTCTCCCCACCACTTTCAAATCGATAGCCTCTTCTTCCCTAATTATTACTGTTACAAATATACCTATATGTATATGTGTGGGAAAATATATATAAATACAACCTGCTAAGTCCATTTTTGTTGTTTGTGTGTACATGGTTTTGGGGCTTACTTTGATTGGATAACCAGTTGGGGTGCTCACCATGAGCTAGGCTAAGTCTTCCTTCCTCAGGCCCCAGCCATTGTCTGTAGCTCCTCGTCCAGGGGTGGGACCCGTAGGATTTTTCCTCCTCCTCGTGCTAGTGTGCCCTGTTAATGTCCCTATGTTCCGGTCTTGTTTTTGTGGCCATTTCTATGAGAGACTGTTTCACGGCAGACTTCCTGGTATTCTGGCCCTTACCAGCTTTCCACCCATCTCTTCTGAGATGTTCCTTCGGCCATCGATGCAGCAACTGTGGTACAGGTGTATCTGATGAGGTTGGGCTCCCCACAGCCTGTTGATCTCTGCGTCGCGGCCGGCTAGGTTTTCTGTGATGTCTCCATTTGCCGTAAGAGAACTTTTGATGAGGGAGGTAGCGACACTTACCTGTGGGTATAAGGATACGATTTAGGATGTAGTAAGGAATGATGCTGGTCTTTAAGCTCTCTCTATAATCAAAGATTTTAGAAATTCACCCTTTGTTGTACTGTATTTCACTCTTCGAATTTTCTCAACAAGGACCTGGAACCTGCCTCAGTGGAGGCTTTAGTGAACATCCAGAAACTTCAGTCCCTGAGTTATGCACACCTAAGATGAGACCATCTCTGTTGCTCTCAAGGACCTCTGTGTATTTCTGTTTCAGAATTAATAATAACTAGCACAATCGTTACTATTAATACTTACTGAATGTTTTCTCCATGCCCGGAGGGGTTTTAGTCATCTGTGTATGCTAACACCTCCTTCATCTTGACAACTCTGTCTCACAGACAAGAAACCAAAGGCTACGGCTTTTCATTTTATTGAACAATATGGGCTGAAAAGATGGCTTAGTGGGTAATGCATTTGCAATAAAAGTGTGAGGAGCAGAGGTCGGATCTCCAGCACCCACATAAATAGTGAACACTGGGAGGGTGTGCTGGCATATACCTGAAACCTCAGCTCCTAGGAAGGAGAGACCGTGATCCCTGGAGTAAACTGGCTGGCCAGACAGCTGAATCAGTGAGCTGTGGCTTCAAGTGAGAGACCAGACCTCAATACACAAGGTAGAGAGCAGTTGAGGAAGGCAGCTGATGTCAGCTCCAGGCAGCATCAACCTCTAACACGCGTTTGCATGTGCATCTCCACACAGGCATCCAAATATGCAAATACAGGAATTTACACCACACAGACAGACACCCAAAAGTACAATACCATAAAAGATGTATTTTTAATTTTGAAAACGATTTACTTTTTGCTTATTTTTATTTACATGTATGTGTGTGTGCCTATGTAAGTTTATGGGCACCTCATGTGAGTGCTAGGAACCTAACTCAGGTCCTCTGCAAGAGCAGTAACTGCTCCTAACTGCTGAGCTAGCTCTCCAGTCCCCAAAGTTTTGTTTTATTATTATTATTATTATTTTATTAAAAGAAAAGACAGGGGCTGGAAAGATGGCTCAGCATTTAAGAGTGCATCTTGATCTTACAGAGAACCTGAGTTCAATACCCAGAGCCCTATGTCTGGCAGCTTACAACCACCTGTAACTCCAGCTCCAGGGCATCTGTCACCCTCTTCAAGCCTCCCTGGGCACCTGTACAAACAAGACAGACAGACATACAGATAGACAGACACACACACACAAATAAAAATAAAATAAGTCTTTGAAAAAAGAAAACAGTTGTTCCAAGTTATGTTCTCATAAAGAGAAATGGTTCATTTCCTACGTTTTCTAGTACTTGTTCACAGACAACATTTATTTCAACAACTATTATTTACATGGCAATGACACGTTTATTTTTTAAGTGGAAGAAAGAAAGAGAAAACAATTTCCAAGTAAAAAATTAGTTAAAAAAAAAAGACAAAACGGAGTTCATGCTTAGTAACAGAACGCTGTTTTCACCACGTGACCCCAGCCATCCAGGTGTCTGTTGACCCCCTGCCAGTCACTGGAGTAAAATATCACTTCGTGGCACTGGGTGCTTTTGCTGACCACTGAGGAAAGACAAACTCAAGTATTAAACTACCCGGTGTGCCTCAAACTTGGATCAGTTTTCAGGTTGATTTTTTTTTTCAGAACAAAAACCAAGTTATAAGACATTGCAAATAAATTGTTGTTGGCATTTTCTTTTTATAACAGAAACCCGAGGCTTCTCCTAGTAAAAGAGGGACCTTAGACATCTACCTGAGCCAGAAACCCACCAAGGGAGTCAGGTAAAGCCTGATATTCCTGTGTCCTAGGGTCTTGGGCATGCTAGCCAAGAGCTCTACCCTGAACTGCACTCCCAACCTCAGGTAAAACCTTTGGTAGCATAAAAAGACCTAGATATCACTGGAGGGTGGGATTCATTATTCAGAGGTCTGTGAAGGGTTTGAACTTGAAGAGAACCTTCCGAGAGAGAAGACAGACTTGAGACTGCATAATTTCAAAGCCAAAGTCTATTATCTCATCATCATTTGTATTTGGAGATAAGAAAACAGGTGTTGGAAGGGGAAGGGTGTTGATGGGATGTCAAAAGTCTCAAGGAACCCAGACCAGAACCCAAGGCCTCATTTGTGCTCATCTGGAGAGATTTGTTGCTGGTTGTGTTTTGGAAACTGGATAAGAGCTCATATTTTAAAAGGGCCATGGCTGTGATAAAAGTTAGACCACAGGTGAGTTTATTACTCAGAAGTGGGGTCTTAGGTGTGGTTCAGTGGGAGAGCATGAAGCCCTGGGTTCAATCTCCAAATACTAACCAATGACTCAACCACACAACTCCCCTAATGTACTACAAAATTCCATAACTATTTTATGGGGGGCTAGGGGGTGTTTAAGACATGGTCATATTATCACAGACTGCTTTGAATTTGCTCTTTAGCAAAGGATGACTTTTGACTTCTGACCTTTCTGCCTTCCCTGGCTGACGTTCTCTAACTCCTGAGAAAACATTAGCTGGTCTTGTAGGACTAGAGTAGCCGGAACGTAAGGTCAAAGGTCACACAGGTGGTCCAGCAGGTACTTAGTGCTAAACCCTCTCGCTGCTTTAAATGTCGAGTTTAAGGAAGATTGAAAAGCACTTCCATGTGCACCCTGGGAGGTGGTGCTGAGTCTGTGCAGAGAGGAGGTCAGGGCCTGTTATGACTCCCTGTCATGTGTACAGCTTCCCAATGGGGGATTCGGAGTCGCTAAGTTCCTGGAGACAGACTTTGCCAGCACGGAGTAGTTCAAAGGCCAATGAAAGTGGAAGGAAATGCACTGAGAGCCCTCCTCTGGGGTGACATGGGTTGACAGATGCGGACATTAGCACAGGTTTTCCGTGGGTCGAGGGCTGTTCCCATGGGCCACCGGGTTGCACACATTTATTTACCCTAAAAGACGATCAAGAAGCAGCTGATTACAATCCTAGGAGCCTCTGAAATGTTTCCACAGGTGTGCTGCAAGACTAATTCCGAGGATCCAGCATGGGTGCTTTACCAAAGAGGACTCCTGCCAAGGGAACCAGAGCCCAGGGACCAGGTTCCCGTGCCGGAACCCTGGGAACAGCATCCCGTGCCGGAACCCTGGGGACAGCATCCCATGGAGCTTGAAGCTGGCCATCCTTGGCATATTCATCATTGTGTTGTTCGTCTATATAACCGTGGAAAAGAAGCCACTCTTGCGTTAAAACCCTTTCGGGGCAAAGCAGAAGGGCCATGGCTACAGCCAGGCAGCCCCCCAGCCCTCTGCCCCGTGTGCTCCCTGCCCTGTACTGGCTCTCCAGGCCACATCTGGGTTCAGCTAGGTGGAGGAGCAAGGGCTGTGTGCATGATGGTCTGTAAGTCAAGTAAGCCATCATTAAATGTGCTAACACATCAGAGCAGAGAGCTCTTCTGTAAAGTGCCTGGGCCTCCCTCCCTTCCTCTCTCCTTACCCTGTTTCCTCCCTGCAAACCCCCCCCCCCCCCCGTTTTCCCCAAACAAAGAGGCTTCACATTCTTGTATCAGATCACTTGCTAGTACAGAACATAGAAACAAAGAGAAAATTATATTCTCAATAAAATGTGTCCAACTCTCCAGTCAGTGGTGACATTTCCAGTTTGGCATGGTCATGACAGTGGCCTTGAGGCACAAGTCTGCCCCTCCTCGACTGCAGTCCCTCAGACTCAGACAGGTTCTTGCTCCATGACAGCACCTGACTTTATCTCTGGTTTTCATCCTTTGGGGAAGAGGATGAATTTTCCAATTTCTGTTGGTACTCTGTGACTTTTCCTGGGAAGATGTAAACAAGTGTCTGTTTGCCCCAGATAGGACACTGAAGACAGACTGAAAAGAAAAAAAAATGTAGGACTCCAGTCCAGCTTGGTGAACCTCTGGGTTTATTGTGATAATTTCTGGGTGCATGAGTGAAGCTGTCCTTTCCGGAGCATGGGGGAGGGCTGGGGAAAGCTGTGCTTCTGGGCTTCCTGTAGAGCATGCAGGCAGCGCCACCAGAGAGGCTCCCCTCTCCAGCGATTGTTTCTTCTGTGAGCTCAGAGAGGAGCCTCATGAGCCTGTTGGGGAATATTATTTTAAAGTGTGTTGCTTTTGTTTATGTTGCACTCTGTGAAGCTGTGTTACTGTGCCTGTCTAAAACACCTGATGGTCTAATAAAGAGCTGAACAGCCAATAGCGAGGCTGGAGAAAGGATAGGCGGGGCTGGCCATCTCTCTTTTGAAAATATGGTTTTCAAAGGCTATACTAACCAGGTGTGTGGGGTGTGCATGCAGTCTCAGCTCCTGGGCCAACCTGGGCAACATAGTGAGATACTGTCCCCCACTCCCTTAGCTGGCTTTCTATTGCTGTGGTAAAACACCGACCAAAGCCAACCTGGGGAGGAGAGAGTTAATTTGGCTCACATTTCCCCCCATCACAATCCATCACTGAGGGAAGTCAGGGCAGGAACTCAAGCAGGAACCTGGAGGCAGGAACTGCAGCAGAGGCCATGGAGGAGTGCTGTTCACTGGCTTGCTCAGTCTGCTTTCTTATTTAACCCAGGGCCAACTGCACAGGGGTGGTCCTGGCCACACTGTGCTGAGCCCTCTCACATCAATCATAAAGCAAGAAAATGTCCCACAGATATGCCCACGGGCCAATCTGATGGAGGCGGTTCCTCCGCTGAGGGTCCTGCTTCACAGGTGATTCTAGTTGGTGGGTCAAGTTGACAAAAACTAACTGGTACATGCCCCAATGTGTGTGTGTATAGTTTATTTGTTTGTTTTCCAAGACAAGGTTTCTCTGTGTAGCTTTGGAGCCCATCCTGGAACTCTGTAAATCAGTCTGGCCTCAAACTCACAGAGATCCACCTGCCTCTGCCTCCCTAGTGCTGGGATCAAAGGCATGCGCCACCACAGCCCCGCCCACAAAAATATTACATACTGTATATACTGTGCAAATTGCAAGGAACACCAAACTCTACTAAGGCTTGCTTAAACAGCTTTATTCTTATCCTAAAAAGTCTAGAGTTTAAAATACGTAAGATTATGGGAAACAAGTAAATAGGATCTTATTCAAATGAATCCATCGTCGAAAATGTTGTCATCCACTAGCTAGCAACGTCTGCTCTGCCTGGAGAGAAATCTTGGGTAGATGGGAGGAAAGCCGTTCAGATGCTGGCTGCTGGAAGCTTCTGCCTCCTCCAGCAGCAGGTGGAAGCAGGCGCTGATGTGCTAGCCTCGGGTATCAGGTCCCTGGCTCTGGGCAGCAGCCAGTGTTACAGCTTAGTCTAAGACTCTTATCGCGGAAGATTTCACAGCTCTCTGGAACTCATTCTGTAGGTGGGGCCTGCAGGTTCTCCTGCCCGGTTCCTTCACAGCTTTCATCATCTGCCACCCTCCTATAATCTCTCTTCCACTCCCCCTTTCTTTTCTTTTCCTTTCTTCTCTTCTCTTCTCTTCTCTTCTCTTCTCTTCTCTTCTCTTCTCTTCTCTTCTCTTTTCTTTTCTTGGTCACTGTTGAACTTTCAGCTGCTCCCTTCAGTTGTCCATGGCTGCCAGCAGGATGGCTAACTCAGTACTTGCCTTTGTTAGGGCAGCATTTGGGAGCCAAATACCTAGAGGGTCATTCAGTAGCTGGGCCTTGGTGTAGCTAGGATCCCTCAGACCTGGACATCACAGATGTGGGTGCCTACTAGCAGATGGGCTCTCTGGGCGGATCAGCAGGTGGCCCCAACCACATTGCCATACCAGCACCGCCTGATGGGTCCCAGGCTCCTGCAGGCAAACACCTCTTCAGCTGTCAGGTGGTCCTGTCAAGGCCTCCCCAACCCTTCTTACACAATCAAATGGGCATTTGGGACTGTGGAACCAAGGCCCAGAGCTCCAGAATCAGGTTCTCATGGTAGCAGGTTGTTTCCAAGCCTAGTGGCCAATATCAGAAACAGCTGCTAGCGGCTGTGGCTGCCCCTGAGGCTACCAGACTTTGTTAGGCTGTTCAGCAGCTGTGCCTGAAGTCTGGGACTCAGGGGCAGTGCTAGGAGAGGTTGGCTCACAAGGCACTGGGCAGTGTCCGAGTCCCCTTGTGGATCTTCAGCGGTTTTTTTTTTTTTCTTCCTAATTTAACTTTTGATTCTTTGCGGATTTCACATCATGCATCCTGATCCCATTCCTCTCCCTGTCCCTTCATATCCACCCTCTGCCCTTGCAACCTCCCCACCAAGATAAAGTAAAATAAATTTTTTTAAAGATTTATGTATTTATTATGTATACAGAAGAGGGCGCCAGATCTCATTACAGATGGTTGTGAGGCACCATGTGGTTGCTGGGAATTGAACTCAGGACCTCTGGAAGAGCAGTCGGTGCTCTTAACCTCCGAGCCATCTCTCCAGCCCTGTAAAATAAAATTTAAAAGAAAATAAAAAAAAAAGAGAGAAATCTCATCATGGAAGCTGTAGTGTGTCACAGTGTGTCACACGGTATACCCTTTAGTCCATACATTTTTGCATGCAAGTGTTCATTGCAATGAGTCATTGGTCTGGTTCAAGGCCTCTGGCTTCTGCTACACTCTTAGTGTGGGGCCCTCACTGGGACTCCTTTTGGATATCCTGTTGTCTTGTGTCATGGAGATCCTGCAGCGTTGGGTCTTCAAGACCAGCTCCTTCATGTGCTCCAATAGATCATAGATGGGGTTGGTGGATGTTGGGATGGTCCAACACATAGCCCTGGTTCTGGGCCTGGGTGGTTGCTGGGTTGGTCAGCCCACCAGCTCTCCTTTGTCCTCACGACAGGGTGAGCTCTCCTGTATTGCCCCCGGCTAGTTCACCCCTTGCAGTAGCGGATGAGCAAGGGGCAGGACCAGTTGGGTCGGCTCTCCCACACCTACACCATCAGGGCCAGCTCTATTGTGTTGCCAGTCGAGGTACAGGGGCCGCCCTCCCAAGTGCTGCAGCTCATGAGGGGCAGGGGACGGGGGGAGGGCGCCTCTCCCTCGCCCACACCACCACCACTATATGGCAGATAAGGGGCGGGGCCAGATCTTCCATGCTCATGTTCTCAGGACAGGCTCTCCCTCGCCTGTGTCAACAGGGACTGCTTCACTGTGCTGCCCAGGAGAGGTGCAGATCTTTACCTTTTAAGCCATGGGGTGGTGATTATGACCCAAAAAGATCCAGCTGGTGCAAGGCCTTTGAGATCAAGCCACTGTCCAAGGGTGGGTGTGGCTGGTGCTCCTTAACGTCACACTGCCTCCAGCATTGTCACACTGCCGCCACCATGTTCTGCTGCTTCCTCATATCCAGTGTGGCCTGCACTTTTGAAAGTAGGCAAGGAAAGACCACTTGGGATTAGTCTCTGTTTCATCCATAATGCAATACCAGGTGTTGTGTGAGACTTAGGTAAGGGCCGATGCCAGACCAAAGTAATGACGACACCCAAATCCAGCTTGGTAAGCCAATACGTCTATGGGGGTCGTTTACGGGAAGAGGGTGACTCAAAGGCAGCTGCACCATTGAAAAGCCCAGCCCATCAGGAGAGAGCTCATGAAGGCTGCAACCCTGAAGAGCTCTGAGGACAGCACAGACAGCTTGAGTCAATGTCTTCAGGCAGCTCCACTTCCTCTCTCCACCCATAGTCTTCTTCCTCCTCCTCTTCCTCCTCTTCCTCTTCCTCTTCTTCCTGTTCTTCTTCCTCTTCTTCTTCCTCCTCCTCCTCCCCTTCCCCTTCTCCTTCCCCTTCCTCCTCTTTTCTTCTCCTCTCTCTTCTTTGCCTTCCTCTTCTTCTCCTCTTTCTTAACTTTTCTTCACCATCATCAACTTCCTTCCTTCCTTCCTTCCTTCCTTCCTTCCTTCCTTCCTTCCTTCCTTCCTTTTCTTTTCCAAAACAAGGTTTCTCTGTGTAGCCTTGGCTGTCCCGGAACTCACTCTGTAGATCAGGCTGTCCTCGAACTCACAGAGATCTTCCCAGGTGCTGAGATTAAAGGCATGGACCTCCACCTCCCAGCTCGCTTTACTGCTTCTATATCTTGAACCTTGTGAGTTTTAGTTTTCCCAGACAGTGAAGTCTGTATACTTCCTGAGTCTCATATGAGTCTCCCTGTTCCTTCCTGAAGGGACCTTTCAACTTGGGACTTTCTGAATCTTAAGAGCCTCCTCCAGGGTAACATTTTATTTCCAGGAAACTGTTATGTCAGGATGGGAATGTGTCTGCCAGTCCGTGCACCAGGAGAGCTTAAGGAGTCTGCTTACATAGCCAGGGATGGATTGTTTAGACCAGTCACAGCCAGCTTGGTGTGCAGCACTAATCAGTCTTCAAGGCTTCCCATCGGTCATCGCAGTCCCTCCACTGGATAAGCGTGCCCCCTGTGGCCAAGTTAGAAATAGGTCTTCCTGACTGGTGAGTGCACAGTCTGACACAAACTGAGGCCCCGCCTCTCAGCTGC